AGTATGTGGAAAATAATGTTTTTTGAACCTTAAACCGCATAAACACATTTCATTACACCAAAATAATGTTCTTTTTAGCAACATCGTATGACCCCTTTAATATGACAATGGTAAAATGGTTTGTTTTTTTTAAAGGGGTCATATGATGCGATTTCAATTTTTTACTTTCTCTTTGGAGTGTTACAAGCTCTTGGTGCATAAAGAAGATCTGAAAAATTGCAAAGACTAAAGTCTCAACTCCAAAGAAATATTCTTTAGAAAAGTTGAGTCAACCACGCCTACTTTTTTTAACTTTAAACCGCATAAACACATTTCATTACACCAAATACACAAAATAGTGTTCTTTTTAGCAGCATCATATGACACCTTTAATGTCACAGAATTCTTTTAAGACCAGATATCTGTCTGATAGTGCAGCCCAGTGAACTGGAGAGTTGAAAGAGACCTGCAGTGCTTTAGTAGATGTTATAAATCAGGAATCTGTATTTTAGGATGAAATGTAGGACAACTGTCTGCAAAGAGCTACAACTTATCACCGGTAAGAGTAAAAAAAGATTGTGTGTGTGTGAATGAGAGAGAAAGACTGTTTGTATGCTTATGAGTATGTGAAGCAGCTCTGCAGGTACAGGTCACTTGTTCCCTTTCACAGGCCCAGTGGACTGAGGTTCTAACAGCGGAGAAAAATGACGAGGACATCTTACACTGTTACTACGCCCCGAGTTCCCTCACATCCAGTGAGCAAAACACACACACACGTACACCTCTCTAGTTGTCTTACTTTCTATCTATTCTGTTCATTTATTCATATTACTCAACCTCTTACTTCAGTAGTGGGCTATTAGTCATCAGTTTTGAGAATAGAAAGACTTTTCATTTGCTTCCCTGGAATTCCTCGTTTACATTTACTCCAAAATGAGGAACTAAGATGATGCACATTAGAATAACAAAATTTAACCTAGTCAGTATTGACATTGGTCTGTTTCATCAGTGGTGCTAATAGAACTAATAGAAGATATGAAAAGTAGTGCTGCCATCTGCTGGACATTAAATCAAGGATATATTAAAATAAATGTCACACAGCCTAATGGTTAACTGGCAATACCTTTAAAATCATACAGACCACCGAAAATACCATTTTGGAGAAACACAGGCCTGATGAATCTGAATTCTGATGAATCTGTGACACATTTTGTGACAGGCCATCTAGATAAATCACACAGTGTGGCATAAACATATATACTCATATACTCTTGAGGATTTACAGCTCTTGCTGAACAGCCAAAACCCCTGATAGTGGAAGAGCTTGTTAAAGTTTAGTACCTGTCCTATGGGATGGTCTAGAGTTATAGATTGTTTCTTATCTAGGTTAACATCTCAGTGTAAGGTCATGTGGGGCCCTTTCAAGCTCTCAATCACACTATTGTGTTCTTGTGAATAGAGCCCATTCTTTCTCTCTCTTCCTAAATCAGTCAAAAATGTAGAAGCACATTGGAGTTTTCTATATATCAAAATATATATATTTTTGGCAACCTGAGATGCACGCTGTGTCTCACACACCACAGACCCTAGTCCTTACTCCAGGGGTGCCCAAACTCGGTCCTGGAGGGCCGGTGTCCTGCAGAGTTTAGCTCCAGCTTGCCTCAACACACCTGCCTGGAAGTTTCTAGTATGCCTAGTAAGACCTTGATTAGCTGCTTCAGGTGTGTTTGATTAGGGTTGGAGCTAAACTCTGCAGGACACCGACCCTCCAGGACCGAGTGTGGGCATCCCTGCCTTACTCCAAGTGTTTCCCTGGGGTGAACTGACAGTGTTGCCCAGATTTTCCAGTTGACCAAGGTGTGCAATGCACAGAGTTGTGCTCTTTGTCCATTGCTATGACTGCAGCAGAGCTTCCCTGCTATCCTGGCCTGCAAGGGCAGCCTCTCCGTAATTGTGCAGGTGGTTACGGGTTTCCTGAATGCAGACTATAACAGGCTACACTATGGGTACGTGGCTGGTCTGTCCCATCCAGAGTTCTGCACCAGAGATGGGAACCAATCTGACATAAGGGCCAGTTTGACATATTTCTTTTGTGGCCGTTTGATTTGCTTTTGTCATTTGAAAATGTGTTTTTATCCGTGTTATTAACGTAATTATATTTGAAACAAACTTACTTGTTAGTGACTCTTCTATCATCTGTCATGGTCTCTTCTTTCTTCAGATAATCACATACATTCACTTTAACATACATAAAATATGTGACCCTGGACTACAAAACCAGTCATAAGGGTAAATTTTTTTGAGTATCATCGGCATAACAGTGGAAACTAATCCCGTATTTTTTAATAATATTACCAAGGGGCAACATGTATATCGAAAATAGCAGAGGACTAGGATAGGACAATATTTGGCCGAGATACAACTATTTGAAAATCTAAAAAATCTAAATATTGAGAAAATCACCTTTAAAGTTGTCCAAATGAAGTTCTTAGCAATGCATATTACTAATCAAAAATTAAGTTTTAATATATATACAGTAGGACATTTACAAAATATCTTCATGGAACATGATCTTTACTTAATATCCTAATGATTTTTGGCATAAAAAAAATCTATAATTTTGACCCTTTTGGCTATTGCTACAAATATACCCCAGCGACTTAAGACTGGTTTTGTGGTCCAGGGTCACATATATGTTAAAGTGATTTACAAATTTAAGGATTCAATTTGGAAATAAAATAACTTATCTGGCTTATGCTTAATACTTATAACTATGCTTAAAACATTTAACTAAACAAGTCTATGTATTCATAATTATGGCTTATTGAAATACATATTGTACTATTTTTCTATTACAGTGGGCCCTTTTGTACTATTTTTCTATTACAGTGGGCCCTTTCTATTGACTGTTCTCTGTTGTGCTGAAGGTTTTTTTTTAGACCACACATATTTTTCTCATACAGAACGTTAAAAACTAAAAACTGAGGCTAACAACAAAAAGGGAAGATTTAATTCTACTACAGTGTAATTTACAGAACCAAAAAGTCTTATGGTACTCTTTAGGAAATCAGCACGTTCTAATAAAACAGAAGAACTGATAGCAGTGTATTTTGTGTTTCAGATATGGGGCAATTACATAACAATGACAGCTGAGCAGCGGACTTCCACTTTTAGAGACATACTCCTCATCTTCATTGGTCTTTGGGTCAGAACATCACAGTCTGTTTTATCAAGGTTTGTACCTTAATGTTGATCACAAGACAAGCTGTGCCAAGTTACTGATAATAATTAAATCAATGAAAAATTACTTTTTATTCCTTGAAAGGTTTCTTAATCCTGATTTTGAACAAAAAGATTATGAACAAAAATATTTTCCAATGAATTGTGCACAAGACCAGCAATGTACATTAAGAGAATAAATAGGCTGATATAGATTTCCAGTTTAAATGTATTACTGTGCAGACATAATAAATATAAATGAGGGATTTTCTTTCATATAGCGTCTTTCTAATCATTTCACTTTGATCCACAATTACGGGCTTTAGGATAACACACTGCATTTGTCAACCCTTGATTTTAGTCAAATCTTACTGGTAACTTTAACTTGAACTGCTCCAATTCTGAAACAAAATAAAACATGGGCATGGGTCACTTCATGAAGACAATAAACATTTGCAGAACATATACATTTTAAACCAAATGCTTTTATGTAGCTCATATACTCATATAGAATGAATTAAAGTTAATGAAATAGTTTGGTACAGTATAAATGTTTATTTAATATTCATTATTTTCTCTCTAAATGTTCATTGATCAGATGGAGAATGAGTTACATAAACATGAAGTCCCTCTGAGATGTTCCTCTGTGTTGCACGTGAAGGAGGGATGTGCACAGCCAGTCATCTGTGACCGAGTCGGGTTAATTGTTAGCTGTTCAGATGCCAACTAGAATGTGTGTGTGTGTGTGTGTGTGTGTGTGTTTGATCTCTGCTGTTATCGCGTGGAGATTCAAATCTGAGTTTGGGATAAGAAGTGGAGCCCATCTAAAGGTAAGGAACCATGTAAAGAGTGCACTGTTGAAATATTCATATAGTTTTATATCTAACAGTGTTTGCCACAGGTTTGCATGTCCCTGGATGTTCCTCAATGAATTAATATTATGAAAACTGAATAGAAGTACAAGAATAATGGTGCTTTCTTGACAAAGTAGATCAATACTGTGGTGTCTTTCAGCCGTGACATTCTCACTTTGCTTAATATCTATTATAAACCTCAGGCAGATTTATTTTAAGGTTATTTCATGGTTAACAATCTGAATATTGGCAATGAGAGCAGTGATGCTGTTTGTCTCAGTCTCAGATAAAGCCAAATGACAGCTATATAAAGGGAAATTAAATTGTGGATATTTGGGGGAGATTTGAGTGAAAAATCTCTGAACCTCACTTGTCTGGTATTTTATATAGTTATGGTAAGGTACAGGGAGTAGTGAGCGAAAATCACAGTTTCTGAGTGTAATGTGTAATGTGTTAATAACAATATAGGAAAAGCTCTCTAAGAAAACTGAAACTTACTCATCTTGTCAATAGTAGTTTGTGTTGGGTTTTATTGGTGTGTATCATGTAGTGTTTATATCATTTGCAGTATGTGGAGATTAGGAATTGTTGAAACACTGGGGTAGTTACATAGTAACGGGGTAGTTACATAGTAACAGCAAGTTAGAGCTGTGCTGTAATTACATGGAAAAACTTTGCAATACGGTTCTGTACATCATGTTATGGTAATATGTTATGTATTAGCTATCATGAACACTGAACAACATTCTTACAGTATTTACTAATCTACATTAATGTTCATTTCTACATATACAAATATATTATTAATTCAAGTTGAAGAATTGAATATTTCAGAATGTAGTGTGAACAAACATGAATAACAATGATCAATAATACATTTGTAAATTAACATTAAACTAGATTAATAAATGCTGTAAATTGCCAGCAAAAGTTAGACGAGAAAGTACTTTTTTAAATCCTAAATTCTTGAAGTTCATATCAAGTCATTTTTATGTATAAAAATAATTCAGCAGCAAGCTATTTAATGCCTGGTTTTCTTTGTAGACTCTGTGTAGAGATACACTGTGTTCTGACTTCAGAGTTAACCACGCTCATTGGCCAGCTTTTGAACTCGACAAATAAAATGGAGAGCCAGCAGAGACGAGTACATCAGTCAGAACAGCTCTTGACTGTATAACATATATGGTGTTTATATTGGAGATCACGGGGCTTGCACTGCTTTAATTATTTACAGGCCTGTATGTATTTGAGCACTGGCTTGTATTGAGCTGTATTGGTAGTGCTTTGATCTGAGACGGTTCTGTTCTGTTCTGTCCTTGGGTTTATGCTGTCACCCCCTCTTTCCAACCAAACCATATCAAGTGTCTCTTTCAAAGGAGTATTGTGTTGGTCAGAGTCTGCTCACCTCTAGCCAATCCTGGTCCCTCTCCTCCTTCTTATCACGTGTTTGCTTCAGTCACGGTCAGCCTGGAGAATGACTGAACATCGAAAGTCCCACCCACTTTTGTTGGTTATTAAATACATGAATTTGGAAATGGATCAAAACTTGGGATATCTGCTGGAAAAACTGATTGCATTGCAGGTTTGTCTTTCGCCTTATGCCTCAAGTTAAACGATTGTCATGTGACGGTGGAATTGGTGGCACTGAAAGTAAGCTTGAGTTAACCTATAGTTTGTGTTGCTAACTGCACCTGGAAAAAATGCATTTAGAAAATATTCAGTACCTTATTTTTGTTACAATATTGTAGCGAAGTTATTGATAATGTGATAGTTCTTGTCAGTTATGAAAAGTATTTTTACAAGCATGATAAACGTTTGACAAAAAAGGAAACTTTGTGTTTTGTGTTTGTTTATACTGTAAATCTTTAAGGTAAGTGAGAGTATTTACAGGTCTACATAATGGACCATCCAGATAATGGCTGCATGAATGTATCTGTCTCCAAATCATTTTCATCAACCTATTTAATTTACTCATGCTGTTTATTTTCAGTAGGTTTAGCATCAGTAGCCACTTGTGGACATCAACTTCAGTGTCTTAATTGTAGAGGACATACAATAATTTCAGATTATTACAGATTACAGATAACAGATTCTTTGAGATAAAGTCTTTGGTTTACTTGATTAGCACAGTACCTGATGCACAAATAAATGGATTTTTAAAATAAGCTTAATTAACAAAAAATATATGTGAACTCTTCTATTGAGTTTACAGTAGAATTGTAATATTATGTATTCTACATTATGTATGTGTTATAATACTCTCTTTCTCAGGGTTTTTTTGCAGTCGATTCTAGCCAGTGCTTCTTGACTGTAGTATAAACTGAACCTTTGGCTATTGTACTGTAGTTGCTAGGAGACAAACTGATTTGAGTTGAAGTGCATGTGAAGCAGATGTTATTGTGTATGAATAATTAGATCTGTCAGAGAGCCCATAACATCTTGACACACATTAGCAACACTTAAAACACTATAATGTCTTTATCCTTTAACTTGGCCTTTAGGCTGCTTGAAGTAATCAGGACATCAAGACATCAAAACAACAGAAACTAAGAATAAAAGTGTTTCTCCTTGTTAGATTTGCATCAAGTCTTTTAGATCAGGTTCAGGCTTGGTTGTTTTCTTCTCCTTTAAAAAAATAAATGCGTAATAATGTTTATAGTAAAAAAGTGTACTATATTTTTGTCTGTATTTATTCAGTCTGACTGCACAAAATTAAGACTGGACTGTTGATCCTGTGAACGATGGATGAAGATCTGAAAAAGACGAACCCTCACAATGGGAGCCTCTCAGGGGCTTTGGATGCCAAAAAGCCCGATCAGCCAAAAGCAGCAGTTCTGCAGAAGAATGTGAGTATGAGAGAAAGAGAATCGTACTCATTATGAGCACACATAAGAATGGGAAGAATGTTGCATGATCACTGGTTTCTATCCAGACACGGTGCATATGGGTGTGTGAAGGGTTTAACTGTGGGTCAGCCTGGCAGTGCCTGTCACCATCACTGCAGTGTAATCCCTCCCCTTCCTGACCCGTCTGTCTGTATATTCTTTTGTGACTCCCACTAATGACTAGTTTGACTATTTATATGTAAATTTGCATGAATGAGGACACGGAAGGTCATATTACTACAATAGCTTTAGCTTATATTAATAAAAAACAGGCAGCTTCAAGCTTCATTCCACCTTTAATAAAAGTGTATTGAGATCATGTAGAGCATTGAATTAGGAATGCACAGATATTAATATTCTGGTTGATATGTTGAATTATTATTTGTTACTGTTGATAACCAATTAAATGGCAATTCTATATAAAATAAACACTAAAAACTAAAATCAATCAGTTTAAATGTTACAAATGAATTTAGACATAACATTATAACATACTGTATTATAACTAGAAAAGGATGTCATGATTGGAAAGACTGAGTGTACACGGTGCAGAGGAAGACTGCCTTTGTGGACAATCCGTTAACCTTTCTTGATATGTCAACAACAACGACAGGATGGACACTGGGAGGATCTCATCAGACTAGCACAAAACTGAATCCTTTTTTAATCTTATATATATATATATATATATATATACAGTGGGTACGGAAAGTATTCAGACCCCCTTCAATTTTTC